TTGTCCAGGCCTTCCTGCGCCTAGCTTGGGGTGGCCCCTGACGAGCATGCTCTGGCAGCCCCCAAGCCTGACACCCGAGCCTTTGGACAAGACGAATTCAACACACACCAAGCGCCCAGCCAGGTTGCTGGCACGAATCAGTGCAAGGCTTGGGAGCCCAAAAACCTCAAACACGATTTTACTCCGTTTCTGAAAAATCTCCTGGTGGGAGCCTGGCGAAGGAGTGGGTGTCGGCTGAAACGGCTGTTGTGGAGGCGGGGCCTGGAGGAAAACGCGGGCGGGGTACCCCCCCTGTTTCTGGGCTGTAAGGGAAAAAAGAAGAGGGTTTTCACCCTCTCCCTCTACTGAAACCATCCAACACGCCCGCCAAGATCGGTGGATTTTGGGTATGCTGCTTGTTCTACCTTCTGACGGCTACGAGGCAAAAGTATCAATGCAATTGTAGCTGCAGAGGAATCCAGGCTGCCTGGCGCCATGCTTGAGGTTCCCTTGAGTGAGAAGTGATGCCACAATCTCGTATGAGAAGCTTGTGGCCGTTTGTTATGGGGCTTTGGCAAATCTTGTCTTGGCCTGCCATGAATTGGAATATGCTGGAATCCTTCTTTGCGTAGATGACGTCAGCCTTGCTGGCGACTCTGCTAGCCTTCTGCATGGGAAAACTTCATGGGCCACCGTAACACTCCGTGCTTTAAGTTCGGAGAGCCTCTTGGAGATGCGGAGCATGACCTGGTGTCGACTCAGCATCAGAGACTTCTTGACCACCACGTCACACCACACCCATGCAACACGCTGCCCATCTTGCAAACATATGAACGCGCCCCAGGGGTCTAGGGGCTTGGATTTTCTCCACGGGGAACTCAAGAGGGCCAGAAATTCTGGTTAAAAAAGGGGGCATCTGCCTTCGACGTTTCACATGCTGGCAGAACAAGCCACTAGTAGCTTCATCTAGATATGCCTTGCTCCAGATTCTTCTCCCCAAGTCCAGAGCTGCCCTCCAGCTCACGTCTGCTGACTTTGAAACGCGCGAAGAGCCTTTTTGACTACAATCCAAGACCCATTAATATCAGGTCGTCAAGCCAAGAACCGTTTGGAAGACTTTCCATTCAACCACAGGAGGCCTCGGCACCAAAAGCGTTTCATCAAATGGTGAGGAATTCTTGCGTGGAAGAACTGAGAGCTGTCACCGAACATTGGCATCTTCCAATCATTCCAGGGTTGCGCATGTTGCGCCGGAAGATGGTGACCGTAGCAAGCGCCGACGATAACTTTCTGGTCTGAAGATCCAAGCGAACACCTCGAACAGAGGGCAACCATTAAGGTTGAGGGCAAATTTCGCGCGATGCATTCAATGCTATGCTGTGAGAGCTGAGGCTAACGGACAAAGGGATGCACAAACTGGTTGAGAGCCTGCCGCGCTCCTTGAGCTCCTTGCACTTAGACCTAAGAAAGAACGAGCGGCTTGCTGCCACTTGGTGGAAATGTGTATGCGTGTCAGTGTGCAGACCTTCAGTTCACTTCGTGTGTGTGTGTGTGTGCTCCTACCCGCAAGGATATGTCTCTGGCCCTGCTGGCTAAGCGGTTGCCGGCATTTCTGACTTCCTTACATCTGGACTTCTCTTGCAACAGGAACTTTACGGACAAATCCTTGGAATCTCTGGCGCAGGGCTTCCCCGCAAACCTCAGCTCCTGTTTGTCTCATCAGTACGAAACTTTGGATTTTCTTTGTTAGCATAATATGGGGCTGATCGTGAGTATGTGGTGGAGGCATGATATGGAACAGTCTCCAAGGAAGCCTGCAGATGGATTTCCAGGCGAACAAGAATTTCACAGATGCCTCCTTCGCAGCTTTATGGCAGAACTTGCCCCCGAGGCTCCTTGCTCTTTGCACGGATATGCGCTCCAGCCAGTGCTGCACGGATGCAGCGCTGACTGCCTTGGCTGAGCACATGCCGAGTGATCTCATGCTCCTGCACTTGGTCCTCTGTGGCAACTTCACGGATGAATCTCTATGCAGGCAGCCTGGTGGTTTAAACAGCGAACAAACGGCTATGTGGAGGTTTGTATAAATGTTCCACAGACGAGGATTCGCGCAGGTTCTTCCCCCGCACAAAACGAAGATAGTGTATTGTTGCAATATGATATACTCCTTCATGCCGGTTCTAGTTTTCATTGATTAATGTGTCTAGGATTGCCTGCAGCCTGCCATGCACATTGACTTCCTTGAGCTTGGATTTCAAGCACGATTCCGGCCAGAAAGTCAGCTTTACGGATGAGGCTATGCATGCTTTGGCGCAGAAGCTGCCCGAGAGCCTAAGATCTCTGCACTTGAGCTTCCCTTGCACATGCCGCTTCATGGATGAGTCCTTGACAGCGTTGATTGGAGCCTTGCCGGACAAGCTGCTCTACTTATCTCTGGAGTTTGCGGATGACGACTTCAGTGACACAGCACTGAAAGCATTGGCTGACAAACTGCCGTCAACCCTGGTTACACTGCGCTTGGCTTTTCCGTCGAACAGGTCCTTCACTGACGAATCCATGAGAGCTCTTGCCCCGAACTTGCCTCACGGCCTCACTTGCTTGTACCTGGACTTTGCTGCCAACCCCAACTTTTCCAACGATGCCACCGCAGCCCTTGCCACACACCTCCCGTGCAACCTGACGACCCTACATGTGGACCTTTATGGCAAGCCAACAGATTTGATGGTGACGGCGCTGGCCGAACGTTTAACCCGGTGCCTGGCATCCTTGCATCTCGTGTTTTGGGGCAGCAACTTTACAAACACAGCCATGAAAACACTCGCCCAAAACCTTCCATACAACTTGTCCTGCTTGCATTTGGACTTCCGGGGCCAGCCACAGTTCACAGACGAGTCGATGACGGTCCTAGCGTGGAGGCTGCCTTCCAATCTTGCCTCCTTACACCTGAACTTCTCGTTCAGCGACCAAATGTCCTACAAGACAATGACGGCACTGGCACAAAATCTCCCCAGTAAGCTTCAACGGCTGCACCTGGATTTCCAGAGAAATGCAAACTTCAATGACGACTCTGTGATGGCTCTGGCGCAGAACTTACCTCCCAAGCTTGCCACTCTGCATCTGGTGGTTTGGGGGAACTGCAACGTGACAGACAAGTCGATAATGTTGCTGGCGGCAAAGCTACCTAGCGGTCTCACGACTTTATACATGGACTTTCATGATAGTCCTAACATAACGTCAGAGTCCATGACAGTGCTCGCAGAAAGCCTCCCGCGCAGCCTTGCTGCTTTGCAGCTCAACTTCTCTGCCACTGCGCTGCAGATGTTGATGTGCTTGTATATTGGTGATGCGTGGAATTGACTTCTCTGCCGTAAGCGTATGCTGTAGATAGAGAACTGTCGCGGCGTTCTTGTGCAGTTTTGCCATTTCATATTCCCAGATAAAGCTTGTTGTGATGGTAGCTTCATGTAAGGGCAGCGACCACATCTCGGAGGAGTCCATTGCAGCCCTGGCTTTGACATCTCAGCCTAACCTGGAAGCGCCCCTTCATTGGACCGAAGGCACAAAGTTGCAGCTTTCAGCCTTTCAGCCCACTGGTAGTGCATGTGGCTTCATTCAACAAAACTGCTGTTGCCATATGTTGCCATCATCGTAGCAAGATGCATTGGATGTTGAGATCTAAATGGCTCCGCGAGCTTGTTAGATTATTGTTTGGTTTTGCCACTATTGACTCCATACTGTCTTGCCCCGAAGCTTGCCCAACCAGCAGCCAGTCGCAGGCTTTCAGTCACTCAAGTTCCGTGGCAGAAGTTGAGCCTGACCACTTTGGTTGGTCGCAAGACATGAACTACTTGTAGAGCTACTTTTTGCGTGGTGGTGAGTCTGGGTAATTGCGTGAGAAAGCTGGGCAGAGTCTGCTCAAGAAGAGACTGGGGTGCGCTCAGTATGCACAGTCAACCTGAGGTTTTCGCAAAACGAGAAGCTCATCCTCTCGACTGAGCCGAAAGCTTGAACTATTCTTGCCTTCGCCAATGGAAGAAGGCTTCGCGCTGTCCTTCCTGATAGAAGTGTTCTTTGGGTGATCCCATCTCTCAGACGGTCTGCCGCATCTAAAAATGCATGGAGCCTGTTTTTTGGTCAGCTGGCAGCTGGAAACTTGACTTGTGTGCAGAACATATTCCCTTTGCCAAATTTAATGCCAACAATCTTGCAATGTCGTTGTCTGTTTTCGGGCTGCGCATTGCGAGTCTGTGCCAAGCTGTCTGTTCCTCGTCCAAAAATTAGTTGCTGCTTATCCCAGCGACAGATGAAGTAATTGGTTGCAGCAACCGACGTCGCAATCTGCCAATGCCTAGTGTAAAAAGGCGCGAGCAATACGTCTAATCATGCCAGGCAGATGCAGGGTGAATATCATTTTGTAGCATGAGCGTTCAGGCAGAGCTCAGAACTTTCCCCTGACTTAGTTCTGCATCAAACGCCGCTCTAACGGCGCGCTCCCTGGCGAGCTTTACGAAGGGGTGACAACAGCAACCAAGGCTGCAAGAACGTTGGATAAACTCCCAAACTATCATTTTGCAATTTGCGCACTTCATATTATTCCTTCAATTTCCTGCGTTCCTTGCGCCCCACCTCTAGCACATCAGTCGTTCCTGCTTGCGGCTGTGGAGCTCGATCGGAGCTTTCCTCGATGTCCGTGCTTTGACGGTGTACAATTTCAGATCAAGAAATCAAAGTTACAAATGGGTGCTGAAGCCGCTAGGAAGAGAAGTTCACGGCGTGCGATCGACATGTTTGGTTGTAAATGTTGTAAGCCTGACCAGACAAGTAAGTGAAAGGTACGTGAAAGGTACGCTTCTTTCAACAGTCCACTAATGGCCACACCATTTGCACTGGAAGCCTGAGACCAGATTTGTTTGCTACCTTCTAGACGATGACGCTAGATGAGTGGTTGCAAGCCTGCCAGCCATGGCCGCGGAGGACGCGGCCTCAAAGAGGGTTTGCCAGTCAGCCAAAAGAATTCCGGGGAGCAAGCCAAAGCTTTGCAGAATGACATACACAATACCTGTCTGTTTCTTGTACATGTGGCCACAAGTCTGATTCATGGGGGACGTAGAGCAAACATGTTTGTTTGTGTTGCAGGATACTGCGCTAGTGTTCCTAGAGGGGCTTCAATTTGTTGTCTGCTACGGGGTAGCTTGCTAGTTGCTAGTTCTACAAAAGTTGAGAAACTGCGATAGTCTCCAAATCAAGCGGACATGGTGAGAATCAGCTCGAAGATAATGAGAATGAAAACAAACATGATGAGATTCAGAGCAGGCGTCGTGAGAATCAGACAGCCCACGCGCTAACTATTGGTCATATGCATGAGAAGCAGCCCGTGGGTGAGCCCAAGCTGTTGACTTCCGCTGGTTTGTTCAGAGATGATGTTCAAACAAGGGCTCATTCTGGCTTATTGCAAAGGTTCAGGGTTGCTGTGGCTTTATAACATTGGTGATCAATGTCAAGTTAGTGCTCAAGACCATCCTTCACCTGGCACTCTTCTGTATCACCTGTCCACAAACAGGTTCAATACGGTTCCATCATTCAAGGCTTGTGCAGGCCCAAACGCGCAAAACAGATGGCGGAAGCTGTTTTTCCTTACTCGTAAAAGTGTTTGTTCTGAAAGCAGTTTCCGTGAGCAACGATAAACAACGGTGCAAGAGCAACGTGTCTAGACGGAAAATCGCACGGGTCTAAAATACTCCAATGTATCCCAAAATACTCTGAGATGCATCTTGACGGAACCTGGCATTCGAAAAGCTATGAAGGACAGTATATGAAAACGAGCGAACGACACTGTACAGGTCGACCGTTCTGGATAACAAAAGTCTTGAAGGATTTAAGAAGTCTAAGATGCTGCTTTCTGATTTCTAGTGTGGGGTGGCGGAAACACGTTTTTGATAAACTGGGAAACAGGTTTCTGCTGCAATCGGTTTGAAGGCTCAACAGTTAGTCATTTAGTGGGTCTGGAATGGTGAAAGTACCTTTAGGTCCTGATTTGTTAAAATGTTTCCATGCTGGGGCCTGGAGTGATGGAGGAACCCTAGATGGAACATCGGGTGGGTCTAAAATGGCCTAAGTATGTCTCATTCTTTCTCTGTTAGTGCTTCCCAGAACGGGGTTTTGCGCAATTTCTTTAAGAATAATGCTTAAAAAAGAACCGACGCTGAACATTTCCAGGGGTTGTCCAATACTCCTTCATCTCAAATTGGGGGCTTGCGCGGAGCTTACGCGAACTTGCGCACGCGCAGTTTGGTTCAAACTGGTTTTCGTGCAGTCGCATCACGCCAGATCTACTGACATAGAGTTTTGTTCGGGGCAAGTTCGTGGCCTTATGTGGCCTTATCCTGCGTCCAAGGCTCCGATGACTTGAATTTCAGCAGCAAGCCACTCAGACCTGCGGCCTTTACTGCAGGTACTTTGGTGATCTTTGAGTTGGTTTGCATTGCATCATACGCAACTAACTGTCCTTGCTGGCAATCAGTTAATGCGCGGAAAAGCACAATAGCGCCAGCTTTTCTTCGCAGGACCCCTGCGGTCCTGAGTTTGGATGGGTGGTTTTAGATGCTGCAGGGTCCTTTTAATCCTTTTCGCCTGGCATTGGCCGGCTCTCCTATCCTGCTTGACGATGGTGCTCCGCACCAGTGTGCACACCCGTGTACCTCGTGCTACGTACATGGAGTTCAAACTCTCGGTTGCGGCTCTCCATGTTTGGGCGAGGGTGAGGTGCAGCTGTTGCATTCTTTTCTTCATGCGGTCAGGATGACGTGTTTCCAGAGTGACCTGCTTGCAAGCTTGAGGTCACCCGCACAGTGCGAACCTTGAGTGCTTCTTGCAGGTGTCAAGTGCTTGAAGCATTTTGGAACATGCTCAGGAGATTACCAATGGAGCCAGGCTCAAGCTTTACAAAAGCTTTAGAAATCTGAAATGCTGCGTGAAAGCTGTGCGCATGGGCCTTGATGGACAGGAGCAAGCCACACGCCGGAAAGCATAGCCAGGCTCTCTCACAAGGTATTGTTCGAGGTTCCTAGCTGAGCTACTAGCTACCCTCCGTGCATTTTGCAGGCTGCCGCCCAAATTGCGGCAGCGGTTGCTGCAGCGGGGCATTCTGAAAGAATCTGACGTGGCAGCAGCAACAGAGACGACAGAGACGGCAACCCAACCAGGCACTGCAAAGATCGGGGGTGAGATTTTCATGCGATGATGCGTGCATTGCGTGCTTATGTCAGGCGTAGGCGGTGCCGTGCCACCGCCTCTTCCGCCTCTTGACAGCACTGCGCAGGGTGTGCCTTGTCATAAGCACGGTTCGACTCATGAACAACTGCGGAATCAAGCTGAAAGATGCATGTGACATGCTTGGGCAATGCTTGGGTATGTTCTAGCGTGTCTTACTGTTTTAAGCTGCTTCTGTTTTCCTATCTTTTCACACCTGGCAGAGTTATGACGCCGAGCTTATTTTATCATTTTCCATTCTGATCTCATAAGCAACTCCCATCCTGGTGCTTCTAAAGTGCATGTGTGCCAATAAACGTCCGTGGGACTTTCTAAGCGAAATGCTTTGAAGGCCCATGAATTTAGCTGCATAGGGAAAGAAGTTCAAGAAGCCGGCGACGTCTGCCCAAGCCTAGTGGCACAAGCTTTGCTGCCTGATGCATCTTGCTTTCAGCCTGAACTTTTCAGGCTTAAGCCTACCAATGAGCTCCATGTGGCTAGTGGAACAGCAGTCAAGGCAAGGGGCGCGTGCTGCAGACATGACAGGATGCTATTTTCCTTGAACCTTCCGCTGACCTCTCGTGTGGGCGCGTTCGTTTTCTGAGCACAAGCTCAGCACATCTCAGCGCCCCTTCTTCCTGCGTTTGGGTATGTTCGGCTTTGGCATGCTTTGACAAATTTACAGTCGACCAGTCCCAAGTGAATGGTTTGGGAAGCGCGTCTGAAATTGAAAGTACAGAGCAGAAGACCCGTGAGGTTTGTGGGTGCTGGGTGCCTCTGCTGATCTGTCAATTGTCTTTGGAAAGAGTGGATAGAATTAGAAGTGAATGTGTCCGAGCTTGTGAAGCCTTAGCTGTTTGCATAATCGTCTTACAGCCACGATTCCAGGCACTGACAAGGCCTGTGAACTGCCCGCTGTAAATGCAGACGCTGCAGACACGCGGCGTGCCGGCCACCTGCTGCCCATGGAGATCACTCCATCATGCTAGAAATCTCTCCTTGTGGCCTTTCCGTTGAGCATTCCTTAATGCTGCCCATGTCATCAAACCACCATTTGACCCTCATGTTTCCTTTTGAAACGTAAGAAATCCTGAAAAGTACATAATTCTTCGTTCTCGTTCGCTTGAGTACCAATGTGGTTGCCTTGGCTCATTGTGAGCGGGAAGGACAAGTTCGTCGAACATACATGTCGCTGCATACAAGTGGCAGAGGATGTGGAACACTGAAATTCCAACTTTCAATATCCCGGCTAGCGGAAGAAGTAATACACGGGAATAAAACTGCATTACTTTGCTCCGGGACGGAGGACTTGAGGCCTTGCAGGGATGAAAGAGAGAATGGGCTGGGCACCTTTACACTTCGAGAAGTGGCAGTGCGACGAAGTTTCTTCCCTCCACAGTACTGCAGTAGCAGTCGCAATGCCTTTTCTTTCTTTCGCTTGCTCATTCTCTGATACTCCACACATCTCCCTGAAACACCTGTGCTGCGGTTGTTGGTGCTTTCACGGCGGCTAGCTTCAATCATAATTGCATCCAGCGTGACCAAAATCAGCTTTGTTTTGATAGTGGCTTGCAAATCAAGAGCTCTGTGCATGAGAGCCCGCATGAGTTTGCAAGTGCACCACAGTATGGCTACACGCTACACTTCAAGCAGCAGGAGTTTGCCGCAAGAAAAACGCAGAATCGGAAGATCATTCAGGGACTGACGTCACAAAGCATGCAGGCAATAACGAAGTTGCCTGCATGGTTAAAGTAGCCACAAATATGAAGGGCAGCTTTGAGCCCTTTTCCGAGCTAATACGTGTGGTTTCTAGGACTGGGAACCAATCATATGAACAAGCATGAAAAACTTGGAAAAAACAAAATATGTTCTGAGAAACGGATGCTACATGATGAGCCTCAAGTCTCGCAGCTTTCCAGATTGTGCCCACAAAGAACCCAACCTGGGCACTTCACCATAAGATGAGCTGGGCTTAAAGTCTGCTTAGTATAGATATGCGAAAGCCAAACCGATGAAAGCAGAGATATCGACATGTTAACACATGAAGGAAGACGGTTTAATCATAAACTAGAATAGCCAAGAACTGGTGAACCAATTCACCTAAATGACCTACGATATCTACAATGATTTGCTTCACTTCCAAGCTGCAGCTGCAAAAAAGAATCAGTTGACGACCCCTCTTTATGTCTTCGGCAGAGACAAAAGGTGGACAACATGTACGAAGCAGGTAAACGCCCTGAGGACTGAGGACAGGCTTGCAAACTGTGATGCGCAACACGGATTATGCGTGCATGTTTACTGTGTCGTTTGCAATGGGCTTGAGCCACGGGCTGGTGCCGAGTGCTGTGCGCAGCTTGACAAGTTCAGCCGAAGGAGACATGGAAGGACTGGAATGCGATGAAGCTACTGCGTGTGAACACGTCAAGAAGAATGCATTGACACAGCGAAGCGGCAGTTAAAAGAACAATTTCTGCATGATGGCAAAATCCAAGGTTTTCTCCTCAGGGCCGTTTAGCGTCTTGTGTTTGTCAGGAGTCTACTTGTCGTCAATGTCAACGACACTTCGGCGGCCATGTTGCCACTTCTAATATTAACGCTAACGCGCTCCGCCTCAGCCGGCTTGAGCAGCGGTCGGCGGCGGATGGGCCTTCACACTTTGGAAGGCTTTCTCCAGCATGGCCTGGCAAGCAAAGGTTTATCCTTCAAAGCCCTAAACCCTACATGGATGACATTCCAAACCTTCACCAGACACAGTTTGCAATGCAGAGTATGAGCCGGCGAGGCCAAAAAAAGACGCTCACAGCACCTGGTGCCTCTCGTTCCTGCGTATTTCTTTAAACTTTTGGTCTGCAATTGGCCAAGAAGCCAAAGGATAGCCGCAAGAGGGGCGGAAGGCAAAGGGACGCCGGGGGAAGGGCCCGCGAAGGGTGGAACAGGAGGCTAAGGAAAAGGCGGGGCTCGGAGAGTTTGGCCTTGAAAAGTCAATAATCTGCAGAAGCAGAGCAAGTCGTGACAGGGCAGCTGTGAGAGTACAGGAAAGAAATGCCGAAGGGAAGGAAGCTGGGACAGGCAGCGAAGCTCACCGGGGCTGGAGGGGAGGCGGGGAGGGCGGGACGCAAAGAAGCCTAATGGGTTGGGGACGGAGCCCGCCTGTGACGGGTCCGCTAGGAGGGTGGGAAGGGCCAGAGGCCTCGACGGATTACTGCTGTTGTTAGTCAGTTGCTGATTTGGTATCTCGATTCATAATTTGGTAGAACTTTAGTGTTAATTGATATGATATTCTGTCTACATGGTCCCCGCTGCAGTCATCAGCGCAGCCCTGATCAGAAACTGCAGGCCAAAGCAGCCATGCAAATGCCACCGCCAATGAGCTTGCCACCGATGCCCATGTTTGCTGCGGACTTACATCAGGAATTATGTCATGATGTTGGGTGAGACCGGTTGATGGTGCCACGAACGAGGAATAGCTTTACCAACAGCATGCCAGCAACGAAAACATATTGATGCTGGCTTTTATTTTCAGATTGGATAAGGGCCTCAGAAGTAAGATGAGCCGAGACTCCTGGTGAGCTGAGAGCAGCACAGCAAGCTGCAGAAGCCCGCATCGCTGCAGAGTGGACCGTGGCAGCCTCACGCAGTTGGGGAGTGACTGGCATGGTGTCGCATGCTGTCACACAGCCGTACGGATTCGGCCGCAAGGTAATGGCAAAGGGTCCCAGCATGGGTGTTTCTGGGGCCGTAGGCAAAGCGGACGCCTCAGTTCGTGCTTTCATTCGGTTTGGACATCCTGGCCCGCGCTAGGGTGCTTGGAGCTTTGGCATTCCGTGAAGGCCAAAGCGCCGTTGCCCGCCACACCGCAGCAGGCCTACCTTTGCTCCCATTGATCCCTTAGTGCAAGCGGAAGACGCCAGGTGTACTCGTCAGCTCCTGTCCTTCGTTCCTGCCCAAGCGCTTTGCGTGTGTTTATACGGGAAGAGTGGCCAGATGTCCCAGGACAGGGCTTGAAGCGTGCTGAGCTTGAAGACCAGGCTAGCATTGCACGCGCACCCTTGCACATGCTTCTTGCCAAGATGCCAGGACGTCAGCGCAAAACACCGAAAGATGGATCAGGCGTGGTTCTGGAACTATTTGTGCAAGTTGCTCACCTCTTGTCCTCCAGGTGACAACTGCTCCGGCTGACGCTCCAGCCACTCAGGCACCTTTAAACCTAGCCCCTTCAAAGATCTTCGAAGCTTAATGTTCCTCAAGACACTCGATAATGGCAAAGCCAAGTCATGCTTGTCATTCAGCATCGAGCATTAGTTGAAGGGACCTTGCAGATGTCAACGGTTGACGCTGAAAGTGATCTTTTTGAGGGCCCACGTGTCACCACGGCTGCACATGCGTTAAACCTGCATCGGGCGTAGCTTGACTTAGCAGTCCGCTTGCGGACCCGTTGTGTTTTCAAAAGACTCTGAGAATAGTGCAGGGGCAGGCAGGGGGAACTATGGGATGAGTGCGCGTGCTGCCCAACCTCATCTAATCGCATTTTGGGCGATGAAATAGAAATCATAGCAACAAAGCTGCTAGAGTATCTGGGTGGTCTCGGGCCTGCATGGTGTAGTCTGGAGCCTCGTGTAGCCATCATGTGCAGGATGTTGCTGTCAAATAAGGAAAGGTTCCTGCACAGAATGTTGACAGGCCAGGCCTGCCATGTAGTCCGCCTGGATGCTTGAAAAGGAACAGCAATTCCGCGTGGTCCCTTGTTAGCATAAGAAGCCCAAGAAGGACAAAGCGCTGTTCATTGGCGTTTCTTTGTGCAACGGTGTATACTTGCACCAAAGCTTCCGGACAGTGTTTGCTGCTGTCGATTATTTCTTCTGTTTTTTTTTAAACGGCTCAGACCATAGATCAGCTTTTCAACGCGACTGGCCTCCATGGCCTCCTCAATATCGGCCCAAGATGTTCGATTGTAACAGAGTTGCTTTTTGTTCAACATCTTCCAGGCTCCCGTGCAGGTTGACTGCGCGAAGGCCCGGAGCTTGTTTCACAGCAAACGGGTCTTCAGGCTCACAGGGAATAGTGGCAAGGAGGGGACACCTGGTGGGCCGGATCTGCAAGACGTACCAGCTCCTCCACCTCCTGCACCTGAAGTCCTGCCCTTAAAAAATGATGCGAGATGTGGACAAAGAGAAAGTCAAGCTGCCTGAGGCAGCCACAGGGCCGCCACTTCCACCTGGCTGGGCCGCGTTCTCATGCATCTCATCTTCAGCAGCCAATTCTTTGCGCAAGGGCTGCCTGACAGGTGCGGGTTCCGCACGAGGCCATGGACACAGGATCCTGCTTCCGACTCGGCATATTGGTCTTCTACTAGCAAGTGCTTCTGAGGGTGAGTTCTACTTCTGGAACACCTCCACCAACGAGGCATTTATTGGCGCTTTCTCGTAGAACAAGCATAATCACTACAGCTAGTAGAACCAATTTTGTGATCGGAAGGTGTCCTGGGAACATCCTGCATAGGCCTGAGAATGTTGCCAAAGGAAGGGAAGAGATGTACGATGCTTTAGTGGCATCGCAGCCAAGGCCAGCAAAGCTGAGGAAAAGACAGTAAAACCAAAGCAGCCAAAGTTCACTGAAGAGCACAGGGCGCGTTTGCACGCTGGTAAACGAAATCCCGCATGGGCTCAGAACAATTCGTGCAGGTCCTTTGGACAGACCTTGGGAAGATCATTGGCAGACAGGGCATGAACTTGAAGATCATCAAGGCGACCAGACTGACCCCAAAAGCTGTTTAGTGCGCTGTCGTCGAAGGCTTCGATCGGCTGTGAGGTCCATGTACCTAGACAGGACGGGTACTTTGAGCTGTGCCATTCGGGTTTCGTTGACACCCAGCTCCGGGAGGACGGAGGCAAGGCGAAGGAGAAGGATGGAAAGGGTAAGGGCAAGAAAGGCCGCAGAAACCGATTCGTGAGTACGGACTGCACTACATGCATGTTACACTGTTACATGATGCCTCAAGGCAAGATGAAAGATTCAGATGGCAACAAGATTGGTCGAGGCATAGGCCAGGATCCAGGACGTTACCTTATCTCAGAAGATCGTTCAGCGTTCCAGGGACATCCAGGGCCTATGTCAGCACTTAATCGTCACCTGAGCTTCCACCAAAGGCGATGGAAGTACCAAGCTGAAGGATGACCAGTTCTGCACAATCACGGTGACAGCTGACACCGCCCTAAAGGTGGTCAGCATCATTTCCTTGGACTTGCGTCCTGACACTGGAAGCTCGCAGGCCAATGGCGGTAAGCGTTGCATCGAGATCATGCTTGGCTTCTTGGCGCTCGCAGACACTTCAGCTTGAAGTCGCGATTCTCACGACGCAGCACACTGCTCACTGAGGCTACGGACGAAACGTTGAGCGTGTCGGGACCTTGGCTTTGTGGGTCTCTGATTGGCCTGGCAGCAAGGAAGGCTTGCCGTGAGCGCGTGAGCGGGTCGCGCAAGGATCACTGGGAACATGGGGGCATATCTTGTTCCCGCAGGCTTCCAGCTACCGATTCATAGAGGCAGGCTTGTTCTCGATTTTTCCTATAATAATTCTCAGAAGCACAACCATAGCTGGAAGCTGCAAGGTGGTATGCTACTTGTAGGTGCAGCCCGGACTTGTGGCAGGACTTGTAAAGCAGGAAGGTTCTGCAAACCTGAAAGCTTACAGATCAGGATGCAGGCTGAGAAACCCGGTTGAAAACATCCTGAAAACTCATTTCTCTTCATGTATACGTGTGTCTGGAGACTTGGGCATGAGGCGCTTGCTGACTTGGGCGTTGAGACAAAGTTGCCAAGCCTGGAGGACTTAGCATACATCCTTCCCCCAATGATCAGACCCCGACACTGAAATGCATTTCATTATACGGACATGCCGCGTTGTTACCAGCGTAGTTCCACTAAAAGGTTGTTGTGAGGGGGAAGAAGGATTTAGTGACACAGCATGTTTGAGGGATCCTCCAGCAACATCCTAAGCGTTTTGAAGGAAATGACCGGGGTCAAGACCAAGAAGAAGGCAGGGGAAGATCCAGACCTTCTAAGCTGCATCTGTTGCCAAGGGACATCGGTACTTTATCATTTATTTGACTCTCAATTGGGAGACCACCCTCATGACAACAGTCATCGCAGCATTCCTGAGCAGAGCAAGGATATCGACCCAATGGACCCTGCCTCTTACAGTGACGTGCACTGCCCCCAGGTATCTTCAGTAGATTTGCCGTCAGAGGGCCCAGAATGACAGGGACACCACCTCCAAACTTAGCCTAGGCCTGCTGGCAACTGGTCTGCAGGACTGAAAAAGCTAGCTGCTCAGCGGGTAGGTCCTCGTGCTAGCAAGTCCTTCACATGATGTAGCTTTCAATTCAAGGCCTGGACAGAAGGGGGCGTGAAACTCAGAGAGCCGTAGCTTGTCTGAGCACCAAGTGCAATTGTGCCTCAAGGGTGGCGGACCTGCTCCGCGGGACTCGAAAACTGCCAACGCCGAAAGGCCATGTGCCCAGATGAGGTCTTCTTTAAAGAATGCTTGAGAGTCGGTGCTGCAAGCACTTGTTCCCGAATTGAGGTTCTAGATCTTAGAGATTCTGAGGACGTTTAAGTGTTGGCAGAATCGCGCACTCTGACGGACTCCAGCTGTGCAGAAAGAAGACATGCCCAGCTGCACCAATGCTGAAACAACAACACTTTGCTCAGAGTGGTCTTGATCACCTGCACGTTGGAAGGGAATCATATTAATAGAGAAATATACAGAATCTCATAGCTCTGTGAAAGGCCATGGGCTAGTCTTCGTTTTGCTGGTGGCATGGCTCCTTTCCTCCCGCAGGCCTCTTGGCTTCTCGTGGGGGGTAGACCGGCCATTCTGGAAAAATTCCAAGAATCTGTCGACGAGAAAACCTCAACAACGTCCTGGAGTTTTTGAGAATCGCTAGATCCACATCATCTATCAAATCAAAGTCACCTAAAATTTTGCGCGTCACCAGCAGCAAGGCCCCGATGAGCGTCTCAGAGGCCTGTCTCTGCTGTCTGAGTCTCCGTATGTCTGCCTCTCTGGCCGTCTGTATAATGGTCTCTGCCTGCCTGCCTGTCTCTGTCTCTTTCTCTCCGTCTCTCTGTCTGTCTGTCTTGTCTCTCTCTGTCTGTTCCTCTGTCTGTTCCTCTGTCTGTCTCTGTCTCTCTGCCTGTGTGTCTCTCTCTGTCTTTGTCTGTTTGTCTCGCTGTCTGTCTTTATCAGTCTCTCCGTCTGTCTGTCGCACAGTTTGCAGTCACCCACAGGCGGACACATCGATTCGATGATGGAGCTTCTCGTGAATTTCATCTTCAGAACGGGGTTACGGCCACCAGACAACATTTACTTAATGCGGGAATCTTGCCCATACAATTTACCCTTAGAACATTTCACGTTTGCAGAAGACCTGTGAACGCTCCAAACTGCTTTGAAATGGTTCAGCAAGTGCATGCATATAGACCTCCTACGGGGAGAGTTTGTTGTGAATTGGCGAAGAGCTGGGCTACAGCGGCCCAACAGAAGGTTTTTTCTTAGCGGGTGAAACACGCGTGTGAGCAGGACCCTCGCACTCACCTGCAGGATCCGTTTATGCGCCGTTGGAGGTTTGACGTTCGCATGATTTTTCCGCGTAAACATGCTTTGCTTGTAGTTCCGCCTGTCATGACATGGTCACGCAATTGCCGGGCCATGCTCACTGTGGCACAGACTACTCAAAGAATCAAATGTTAAAATGCTGGTATGTTTGTCTGTATCTCTCCTTGTCTGTCTCTGTTTGTCGGTCGATCGGATTGCGATCGGTCTCTGTGCGTGTCCGTCCGTCCGTCCCTCGGTTTGTCTGTCTCTGTCTCTCTGTCTTGTTGGGGTCCTTAGCTTCGGCACCTCTGTGGATTTTTGGGGGTTTTGATGCTGCTGTGGCTATTTGTCTGCATCTGTCGAACTGCATCTGGTTGTCTGCTTCGCAAGTAAAACATCACGCAACATGGACGTAACCTCGCGTACGCAAGAACATGCCTGAATAAAACGGCGCGGACACTGGCGGCCATGTCACTCGCGTGGGGCCTGTTCTGGCCCTCCATATGGCTCCTGCGGGCTTCCTAGAACCTCTAAAATTCCCGAGACTCAAGGGCCCTTCAGAAAAGTTAGAGGCTCTCTAATCTCTGAGATTTTTGGTCCAGCGGGGACGACGTGGGACGACAAAAAATCTCGGAGATTTTGAGTCGCACGCCCCCCTGCTCTCTCCGCCTCATTTGTCTCTCTCTGGCTGTCTGTGATGTCTGTGCTGCGGCTCGGTCGTTGGAGTAGATGGCGCTCCCCAGTCTTTCGAAGCTCTTAAAGGATCCGAGAAAATTTCAATCTTCTTAAGCCTCAACCAAGCCAGGCACTCCAACAAATGATTCCGGGGCAGCCGCAGCAGCCCCCGCCACATACCTGCATTGTTCTGCTCACAGTCTATATCGGTGAATCGGAATGACAGTCGATCAGTGGGGGTGCCGGTCTGTCAACCTGTTCGTGTTTCGGTCAGTCCTTCTCATGTGCTGTGAGTCTGACGGCCTGTCGGTTTTTGTCAGTGTATGAGTCTAGCACTCGATCTGTCAGTTGGTCAGTCTGGCCGTTTATCTTCTATCGAATCTGTCGGTCTCTCGTTCTGTCGATCTAATATTCTCTGAAGTTTGTTGGTCCGGCAGGGTTGGTCAATCTCCATTTATCCGTGAAAAAGAGGCCTACTGACGCAACAACTTATCAGCCTTGCAATCAATTATTAGAGCGTCCGATCTGATGATCTCGAATTTCATGAGCTGGTAATTATATATAATGAATTCTAGGAGCTAAGAATTAAATCTTCATATGATTCAAATAAGATATTCTCTCAATATGATTAATTAGCCTATTATTTGAAGAAGATTGAAAATCTTGGAGATGATAATATTGGTTCTTTAATCTTACGTAGGTTTTCGTTTGATTTCATATAAAATTGCAACATTCTTGGAATCGAACATTGATGCGGATTTTTTAAGTCTAATTATAGATTTTTGCATATATCTCTAGTAGCTACTCAAATTTCGGGCGACTTACTCTTCTTATTAGAATTATCTTGGATCATAGATTATCAACATGAAATATTATTTGATTGAAAAAACTCAAATTTGATGATTTTAAAATATGAATAAAAAAGTTGAATTTCTATATTTTCTTGAAATATTTAAATTTATAAATATTCATTTCTCTCGTATTTTTTTATATAGCTTCATTTTATAGATAATTGTAAAGGTTGGATATTTCATAAAGGTACGTCGAAAGCTTTCAATTTGAAATATATTTAATTTCGAAATTTTAGCGTTCTTCAATTAAGGAATTTGATTTTATGATTATATTATAAATTTCAATTTTCCGTTTGATAAATGAATAATATTATTCAAAAATCAAAAAAAAAGTTATCTATTCTAAATTATTTTATAATTCATTAATCTATTAAATATCTCGATTTTATTATCGAATATATCTGTTAATAATATATTTAGATATGGATTTGATCGTTGCTTTGGAATTATTCTTGTTGCGATTGGATCATCTAGAATAAAACGATCTATTTTTAATATATCACGAGTTGATGATATCTTTTGATTTACTACGAAAATCTATATATTTCTAATAATTTCAATATTGAGACATTTAATGCTATATAAAAGCTAAGTATAAACATATCGTCTGCAGAGAAAAATTCGGAGAAAATAAATATCATCTATCGGGCGAAGGAAATTTAGCATATATAATTATAGATTGATATCGGCAAAGCAGATCTTAAAAAATAATATAAATAAATATGATGATAAAAGATATCCTTATATAATATCAGAATTTTGAAATCTTCTACGGATTCTTTTTCGGCAGATATGATATCATAGAAATTTCCTTTTTTATTATTCGATATTAAATTATTTTTATATCTTCCGAGATACGCTGAAGAATAAAAGATAAGATTTCATAATTATCGATGATTGGAAAATTTATAGAATATTGATATTGATTGAAAATGATGATTATTTTATAATTGACGAATATGATAAGGCGGCAATGAAAGAATCTTTTTAAAAAAGAAATCCAAAAGAAAGAAGATATGGGAATTTGAGCCTATATAATATAAATTAATCAAATTTTCGAATATTTGCAAATAATTGCAGATTTATAATTAAAAAAAGTGCAAGAGGAATAATATTGATTTATCTTTATATTTTCCTCGTTCTGATATATACAGAATATCTATTCAAATTCTTCTATATATTTGAATCTCTCTAAGATCTATATTTCTTATCATTTCCCGGATCATAATTATTCGAATTTCTAGAATATCGGATATAATCAATCAAATTATATTATTCGGATGAGAGCAGGGCAATAAGGATTATCGCCCTGAAGGCGTCTTCTTGATATACGTTCTTATCTCGTCTCGTATTCTATTGGGGAAATATATGAAAGAGATTAGAAATCCTTAAGAATTATTTGAAAAAATAGATTTCCCTATTTCTAAATATATTTCTCATAGATATCTGGATGGGATGCAGAAGGGCGCAACGATCTTATATCCTGATTTCAGGAGATTGAATTGATTGCAATTCATTATATATTAATCGGATATAAGATATTTTATAGGATCTGAGAGATTTCAATACGTGCTTCCCCGCAATATACGCAAGATTTTCGGGCGATCAATCGTTCGCCATCTCGATTGCGAATGCCAACTTCCCAGGCATGTCATATTCTTCCTTCCAGAATTAAAAAAAATCATAACTATCGTATTTATAAGAGTTCTCCTATTTCGTATGATTTGGAGATCATAGATTTTTTTTGTAATATCCGAATGATTTATGCCTATTTTATCCGGGCATATAATAATTCTTCTAATTGAGGATCTCTAATTTCATCTATTGGGATTCCAATTGAAATCATTTCTAATTTGGGAAGATCTAATTCCTCTAGGATGACCCTAGATTGGATCGATGATGATGATGATGATT